GTGTCTCGGGGCGTCACCCAGTCCCAGATTCAACCCACGGTTAACCAGCAGTTAAAGAAGAGACCTTTTCTCTGTGTAATTTACCTCAATCATATATATTTTAATTCTCCTGAATCGGTTGTAAAAAAGAATTATATTGTGCGACAACAGCACACAATACAGATGAACATTTTAAAGTCATCATTCAGCCACTGAATTAATCAATATTTATTTACATGTACAGCCTAATGTGAAGGTTAAGCAGACATTTTTAGTAATGTTTGTTATCCCTATAGGAGCAATTCTGGGTACAGTAAGCTATAGCACCGGATAAGGATTAAATACATGAAAAGACTTACAGTAATGACTGTCTGTTTAAGTGGGTGGCGTCCAAGTTTTGTATCCTCCTGTAAGTAATATCTTAGTTTTCCTCGTCATTTTATGGCTCAGAATCAAATAAGTTTAAAGCCACTAGTTTAGAAGACCAACAGCAACAGAGCAGAAGTACCTTTTCTTTCTGTTTGTCCTGCAAACAGATGAGCTGTATCTACAGCCATCTTAGTCCTAGATCCAGGAGTGGACTGGGACCTGGACCTTACTTTAACCCTTGATTTAAATGGACTTTACGGAGTTTTGAATTTTTTATGCTCGCGATTGCCCCCTCAGGCAAAATGTGTAACGGCAGCTTCAATAGTAAGGCTCGTGCACGAGGCGCGCATGCTGTACGCAGGGTTGTCCATCATTTTCTTGATTCTCTGGAGAATCCTTCTTTGCATTATCTCCTCCAGCGGGTTCCGAAACTGCCGAAACTCTGGCTGAGTCCTTGAAAGGGCTTGGAGTTTCCTCATCTTGTTGGCCAGTGATCTCACATTGCCCATTATGTCGATGGAGAAGGTGGTTTTGAATTTCCTCTTTCTCTGTCTCCGTTTTGCTCCCGCTCTGCCACCCACGCTTCTTGCGTTTTAGTTTATTTGGGATTTGTGGCTTCAGTTGAGGTATTATTTCAGCCTTTCCAATGTTAATCAGCTGCTCCTGATTGTAAAACAGCTTGTTGCCATGGTTACACATCATACAAATGCTCAAAAAGTGAAAAAAGCTAAAAAATAGTTTTACTCCAACATGCAGGCCACCCAGAGCAGCGCAGTTCCTTAAAAGCTGTATTCTTTCCACCTTTTACATTCTGGAGATTGTACCCATCTCACACTCTTTCTGCTCATCCGTCATCTGACTTTTCATTTCTTTTTCTTCTTCCTTTTTTTCTCTGGAGGAATTTTTAAGAACTTGGTCCCAAGATGCCCCTGAGCTTTGTAAAAAACACTGAGGCAAGCAGTAGTGCCGAGTCATCGTAGACACACAGGAGACGGTGCTTGTGCTGGCACATTAGTTCTGCTATGAGTAATACCTGTATCCAGTCCCCGCTGCAGGTACAGAATGCTACGCTGCAGACGTAAAGGCTGGAGGCGGAAGCTAAAGCCCCAGCTTGTAGATTATTCACCACAAATAACAGTAAATGCAGGAACAGTTATGCTGGTGTGTTACAATAGTTGTAAACATGTCCCGCTAATGTGTCTCTGTTCAAAAAACATCTTTGCATCTCAAACTGTGTATCAAATTTTGTGACTCTTAATAATAGATGTGTTTGTTGTAAATATTTCATGGTCGGCTGACCGAAAACACATGCCTGTCGGAGATATGGAGGTAGAGTGAGAAAGGGGGAGAAGGAGGGGATTGTACTGAAGGAATGGGAGAGAGTGAAACCTTGATATGAAGTGTTTTAACCCATCCTGCTGCCTCCATATTGCTGCTGGCTCCCAGAGCCTACACACCAAACTGACTCGTCGTCTCTCCCCACCCCACAGGGCTCTCAGGATTCAGCTGGAGGACAGGAGGGTCTGGTGGCCCCACCCTTCGCAACCTTCCTCCTCCGCCCCTCCTCAAAACGGGCTCCCGGGACAGAGTTTTGGCCCCGGGGGCTATGTTCGGTGCTGGGGGGCCCAGGCGCAGCAGAGGTAGGGGTTGGTGCTAACGGAATCGCCGCCACAAGCAGCAACAATGTAAGTGCTCTGCATTTCTCAAAGTTCATTTTCTTCTGAGTGTTTTACGAACCCTTGGTCGTTCTTTAGTCACCCCCTTCACTTTGCTTTATTGCCGTTTTTTAAACCTTGTGTTGCATCAACAAACAGAAATCAGCTGCTAGTGATATTCCATGTCCACTGCGCATCGGTAGTTGGGTAGCCTATACATCCAGACCAAACGTAGCTAAAGAAGTTTGCTCTGCAGGTTGGTCTGACCACACAGTTCTGTGTCTGGCCAGTCACAGCTCTCTGGTTTGTCGGGTGGACTTAAAGAGCAAGTCGCCCCCAAGTCAACTTTTTTTTCTGATAAACTACATAAATGCGTGTCTAATCGTGCTGCAGACACGTGTAGTCCATAGTTTTGCACTTTAGTGCATCTCAGTTAAAATTTTAATTTTCTGCCTAAAACTGTCAGTGTTGTGCCGTTGTCAGGTAAACATCGCTATTGGCTAAGAGGTACCCTAGAACGTTAGCTGGTACCATATGATGTCACAATGTCGTTGTGAGCCTGTGTGTGTGTGTATTTGTTAGCGGCTCCGCCCTCTCGGCCTGCTAGGCAACAGCATTAGTTGCATTTTTCAAACAGGAAGTGGGAGTGGAGTAAGACTCTGGTAGGGGGTGACTTGCTCTTTAATGCTGCTAAAGTGAAAAACTACAAAGATGGCGATGGCTCCGGAACGGCACTCGTTTGGAAGGGCCTTGGCATCGACTCTGGACGATTTCGATTTGGGTTTTTCTTTGAGACACGAGCAGATAGAGACGCTTAAGTCGTTTAGAAAAAGGACATATTTGCTTCTTCTTCCACGGTGTTTGACAGACTGCCCCAGTGGCTGGTTTCTGTAGCGATGAGTACGTCACACTGTTTGAAGCTCCAACTGTGTGTTGTCTAATTGTGTGCAGAAACGGCCGGAGTTACAGCCCACCAGATATTTTAATCACGCTTTTTTTTCTTTTACTTCTGTGACGGTGATCAGACGTCTTTTAATCCAGAAATCCTTTCTAGCCCTCCTCCGCAGCACCGTGCATTTCCAGCAGTAAACACAAGCTGCACACAGGCTGTTTTTTATCCAGGAGAACAACAAATAGTAGAAGCATATCAGTACATCCACAGTGGTAAGATCTGTAAAGTCATTTACCACAGAGAGTAAAACATGCAGCAGAGAGCGCTAAATGCTACATGCTAACACAGAGTTGCCCTGCTCAGCTGTCATAATGAGTTGGAGCTCATGTGTGACTGTATTACACAGTTGAAACAAGTGGTGCTTCAATAAGAACAGGATAGAGAACATTAAAATAAAACAAATACCATCTTTATTAGCTTAACGATGTGTAGCTAATGTTTGAGTGCTAGCAGCTGATGGTGAAGAAAGCTGAAGTTTCAGGTCAGATGAAACTGCTGACGTTAGCGAAAAGTTCAAAGCTCTGCTTCTTGGCCTCACAGAGCTGCTATTACGGCTCCACAGAAACTATTTAAACCTCGTCCTCCCGTCAGAAACCAACACGCTGCTATTTTAGTCCGTCACACGCTTCTTCAGCTCACTTTTCGTTTGTTTTTTACGCAAACGTTCGTCTGCTGGAACATTTTATTGGACTTTTAGTGTCGCAAAAACTTGTTTACCTAACTTCCTGTATTTTATTTCTACACATGGTAACCACCAAAGTGTTATTTCCAAGTCCTTAATTCTCTTTCCTTGTCCTCTTTTCACCCCCCCCCCCCCCCCCCCCCCCATCTAACCAAACACCCCAGGTAAAGCTGGACGAGGCCGCTCAGGGTGAGGTGGGAGCTCAGTGTGTTGCAGGAGGAGCAGGAGCTGGAGGCTCTGCAGCAGAGTCCACGGAGGCGAAGGGCACCCCCAAACGCCTCCACGTCTCAAACATCCCCTTCCGCTTTCGGGACCCAGACCTCAGGCAGATGTTTGGGGTAAGAAACTTGGAATGCTGCGGGGCCTCAAACACGATCAATAAATCAGTCTAGACATCCTGGGTGCTCCGCAGAAGGGTTGCCTTTCTGGTGGCTGACAAAAGAGTCCAACCAGCAGAAAGAAAAACACCCTGAGGGGGTGGGGGGTTCTTTTAAGTTGTTATGTATGTCAGTGTGTTAGGGCAAGTGACAAAATGAGAGGAGGAATGGGACAGGGCAGGGTTCAAAAGGAAAACTCTGACGCTGGAGTTGTCTTTGGTGCAACAGTGACCCCTAGTGTTGAGTTGCTGCCTAAACTGTTACTTCCTCTATTATTGGCCTTATTTGTTAATTTGTCTAATCTGATGTTTTTGCAGCAATATGGGAAGATTCTGGATGTTGAGATCATATTCAACGAGAGGGGGTCAAAGGTAGGTGAACGGTAACCAGCTAGGATGTAGAGTCCTCCTTCACGGCGGTTCCCCGAGTCTCCATCTGTCTCTTTAACCTCTGCTGCACACTGCAGGGTTTCGGCTTCGTGACATTTGAAACCAGCGCCGATGCGGAGAAAGCCAGGGAAAAGCTCCACGGCACTCTGGTGGAAGGTCGTAAGATTGAGGTAATTTTCTCTGCCTTCCTTCTCCCATCAGCTCTGCCTGATCACCGACTGCTAGCTAGATCCATCCCATCCTCCCTGATGTGACATGCTCTGATGCAGCCCACTAGTATCCCACTCCCCAGTCCTTTGCAACATGTTTCCTGTTTTGTTTTCTTTTAATCCGAAGAGACTCGTTTCCTATTTATATCCAGTCTATGTGGTGGGAACGATCTGAGGGTGGTGCAAGAATACCAGATGAAAGCATGCTTCTCCTCTGCTGCGTTTTCACACTAACCTTTTAGATTTTACGTTTGTTTTTTTCTAATGATGCACAACATGTTCACACACTGATGCTAGAATGTCTCGTTCGACAGTTGGAATGATGTTTAGCTGGAAGCGGGGGGGCATGAGGGGAGCCCAGTGACAGGATGATGCATGGCAGAATGCCGTCTTATCTTCTTCCCTGGCGTGGACGTTTCTTGTGTTCCCCTCTGCTGGTGCTGTGGTTGTGACAGCTGATGGCTCCTGGTGCAGCAGCATGCTGGGACTCACAGCAACACTGACGCATGTTCACTTTATGGAGGGCTGGGTCCTTTCCAGTCAACTCTGTTTGCTTAAATGCATTAATTTTTTTTTTAATTCAAATACATGTTGTTTATGTTTTTCTGAAGCATGTGCTGAGTGTTTGAAAGTGGATTTTTCTGTTCTATTTTGGGGTTTAAGTCAGTTGTTTATATGCAATCCCTCGACGGAAGCCAGGATTTGTGCATGGGCTTTCCTTTGGGTGTGTGCGGAGGTGTGTGTGTGTGCGTGTGTGTGTGCGAGTGAGCTCCTGCATGACAAATGAGGCTGGACGCTTCTAGTTCTTTTACTCTCACTTCTGTCGCAGTGTGGTTGAGCGCGAGAGACCGCCACCTGCATACACCATACGACATGATCCCTCCCACCACCTCCACCTTCAGTCAATCAGCAAGCTGGGTGGATGCTGATGCAGCCGTCCTGCATCCGTCCCACCCGTGTCTGTGTTCTCTGGTTTTGTTTCAACCCAGTTCCTTTTATTTTTTCTCCGCATGATATCAGTCACTTTTCTCTCAAGCGGCGAGGGGTTCAGTCTTTGTTTTGAGTTGTCACATTGCATGCGTTCTGTCGTGCTCCAGTAGTGGTGATGGTCCGTAGTGAGTTGGGCATCAGCAGCATGGTGGACGCTGTGGAGTGTGTCTCTCTTTGTCTGTTTATGGTGCATGAGCCTGAAGAGACAAAAGGTTAGCGTGGGAGGACAAGCGATGGTGTTTATACATTCTTTCAACCCGAGCTGAAGAAGTTGGGCATTGCTATTTGAGGCGATGCTCCCGGGCAGACCCCCACCCCCACTCTTTCAGATGTGGCTTTCATTGGCCGTTTGATTTCTGTGTTTGCTGAAATGTGTTTTCAGAATTGGGAAGGCAAAAACTGATTTCAGTTCAACAGCACTGAAACACAGTCCCACTTGTCTGTGAATATGTTACTTTGCAGTTTATTACTATTCACTGGCATGGATTTAGCTAGCGGAGCCTGGGTGTGCATGGTTCATGTGGGTATTTGCTGCCTAACGGGGGCCGACGTGTGGACGGATCTACATTTGTTAAGCTGCATGTGTTGTATGACTGCTTTGGTGGATTATTTTTGACGATGGGGCACAAAATTAAATTTCCTTGTGTAGTTAGCATGAACTTTTCCTGAGTGTCTTTAAAAGGCCTTCAGAGCGTAAATCCTTATGAAGGTGGTTTTGTTCTGCTCGGTGCATGCCAGTGGACGTTGGCTAGTTGCTTTTCTTTTCAATAGATGCCGGTAGTGTGCATGTCTGTAGCCTTGATGAAGAAAACGAGAGAGATTTGCTGTACCTAAAGTCACACTGTACTTTTCTTTGTCTGGGATAAAACTCTGCGCTCTGAAGAATTCAGTTTCCTGTACACTTCCAATGTGTCCATGTAAGTGGCCCAACTACAGTTCACTTTGTCTCCTACCTGCTTCTTTTTCATCCCATCCCACCATTATTCACTCTATATATAGAGTCCACTAGGCCTATATATAAGCGTGGCAGTGTGTGTCAGTATGCACCCACAAACACGCACAGTTCCTGCATCCTCGCGTGTCCGTGGCTGTCTCTGTTACCGTGTGTGTGTGTGTGTGCCAAAAACCATTCCACACTCATCATAGAGGGCATTTAGCCTATTGACATGATTTTATGGGTGAACGAAGTAAATGTAACGTTTATTATCCACGTCTGTTTTGTTTAGCTCTTAGACGACGTTCATCTGTGTTCTTGTTAGTTTATTTAAGCTGTTTGTCTTCCTGCAGATATTTGGTTTATTTGTATATCAGTAATATACAGTTAAAGTCAGAATTCACATACACTCATCATTAACATGATTGTAGTATTAATTTAGGTTTTAATGATGGATTTTATTTATTTATTTTCTAGGATGAAGCCGTTAGAGTAGGCTCTACATTGTTAATTTATTATAACAAGATTTAGTGGATTTTGTCTGAACGCGTACACACAGGCCCTAATATAAATAAATATTTAAACAAATATTTGTGTCTTTTAAACGAATGCTCAATATGTTTCCTGCTTTTTCCCTTACAAAATCACAACCGTCGTAAACAACCTTGCAACAGCCTGCTGTAGCTAGCGCTGACAACGAGCTAATGCTAACTCAAGCCAACCAATGCTAAATGAGCCATGAAGTAAAAAGATCCACATTGTTGGAAAAGAAATATTAATACTTGCAAGTCCATTAGCAACAAGGCCAGGTAACCATCAGTCTATGATGTTGTAGCCGCCTTCAGCTTCCTCAAACGAGTGTAGGCCGCCCCGATGTTCACTCTGGTTTTAGCTCTTTGCTTCACCTCCAAAGACGTTACTCTCTTACTTTCACTTCCAGGCTCCGCCATGATGCCAACAGAACAAGCAAAACTCTTTATCTTCTTCTTGTGCTTTTTCTTGACTGTAGGCGAATTCAAACAGCAACCCGCTAGCCCTTATAGTAGTTATCGGCCGAGTAAACAGCTATAGCAGGTTGAGACCTCTCACTAGTGTTTGTTTCTGGTCAGCAGAGTGCTGACCATCATGAAGTTGCTCAAATTTACGGCTCTAGAACCACTGAAACCAGTTTGAAAGCAATAGCTTCATGTGTTAAAAACTTTTTGCTTTAACTTCACAAGACCAAAGCCTATTAAGTTCTTGTTAGTGGTCATTGTTGCCTTCAGCTCGTACTTTTGCTTTGCATTTAAATAAATAAATGGATTTGTTTGATATCACTTAATGACCGACGCTCAGAACAAAGAGGAAGTCACAGAAACTCTGACAATCGATGGAAAATTGTAGATTTGCATAAATTTGGAGGAAATAACTTCAAATTCTAATTGAATCAACTCAAACAGCTACCTTAAGTGGTCCAGACTTGTAAACGCTGACAAATTCAGGAAGAAGACCCAAACTGTTGCCCTTGGAGGGCACCAAGGCTCAAGCTTACTGACCTGACACCAGCGTCTCTGCCTGCTGTAACACCGGCTGTGCGTCACCATGGACTGAGAGAAAAAGGCTTCTGCTTCTAAAAGAAGCACCTCAAAGCTCAGCTGAACTTGTAGTTGTCCTCACGGTCAACCCAAATGTCTTCTCGAGACGGTTTTTTTTGTGGTCAGATTAGACAAAGATTCAGATATCTGGCCACGACGACAAGAATTATGCTTGGAAGAGCCTAGATGAGGCTTTCAGATCCAAGTGTGATGGTGGTGGTGACATCATGCTGTGGTGCTGGTGCACTAGGTGGATAGATAAAAGGAGGACCACCTGTGAAATCTCCAGATTCTCCAGGTTGAAACGTCTGAAACTTTAAACACGCATCATAACTGGTTTCTGATTTGATAAAAGCCATGTATGTTTATATTTAATCCTATATGAACAACTTTAACCCTGTGCGGAAACGAGGAAATCCACTGTAAGTGTGAACTTGTGCATCCACAATCATTGGAGTTGTTTGTTGTACAATCATCTCACACCAGGAAGACGACCGGTTCAATTCCATCGATCCAGTAAAACCCACAAAGTGACTTTTATGCACATGATGAGTCAACGTCTGACTGCAACTGTATGACAAGTCGAGCTTTAAAGGACCGTTTCAGGCTCCAGAATCCTCAATTGGCCTGTTCAGGTAGCTCGGTTGGTCTTATTAATAATCTAGAAAGCGAGGAAGGGACGTTTGTCCACCTCCATAGACACAAAGACCCTACAGACTCACCATCTCTTGCTCCAAGACTGTGTGTTTAGGGTGGACCTGTGTGGCTGCAGCATTGTGGGAAACGGTGGCTCCTCCGTGGCGCAGAGTTTTAGTCAGACGTGACCGTACAGCAGCACAGAACGCCTGAAGGGGGCGGGGCTCTGCATGTGAAGTGAAGCGATTGGACGGGTGGGGCGGGGTGACCATCGCTGCATGAATGTATGTGATGAAGCAGATGGGAAGAAGTTGTCTGCATGTTCTGTCCAGTCCAACCCCCCCCCCACCCCCCACCCCCCACCCCCGGTGGACTCACAGCTGGCCTTCAGCTCCCTTCCATCTGAGCTTTCATCCATTTATTCCAACGCTTCATTTGAATGATTTGGCTTGAATCGAATCCACGAGTTGCTGAATGGCAATACCTGGCGCTTAAGGCGTACCTGTTGCTTTGGTCCCCCTTTCACAGATCCCCCCACCCCCCACCCACCCCACCCCCCCACCCCCACCCCAGATAAGAACTTGTTCAATGCTTCTTTGTTCTAGAAACGGTGTGTGTGTGTGTGTGTGTGTGTGTGTGTGTGTGTGTGTGTGTGTGTGTGTGTGTGTGTGTGTGTGTGTGTGTGTGTGTGTGTGTGTGTGTGTGTGTGTTAACCTGAAAAGGTGGAAAGAGTACACGCTTTGCCCTTTTTTCAGCCCTCCATCTGTCCTGACTCTGTGTTGACTCATTCTTCCTCTTCCATGAACTCCTCCGTCTCCTTCTGACCA